TTCGTGGCTTCGCTCCTCGGAGACACCCCTCTGCGCGGGTTTTCCACTCTCTCTGCCCTGGGAGGAGAGGGGGGCGCGGGAGGGTCAAAGGATGCCCCCTCCCTCCAGCTTCCAAAGACCATAACACCCCCTCTCTGCCACCCGGAAAGTGAGAAGGAAGTAGGGTCCTCGCGGGCCAGATGGAGCAGCTTCCTGTTATCCTCAGACCCTCCCTGGCAGCTGGCGCCTCGGGCCAGGGGCTGCTGGAGGGCTGAAGACCCAGGTGCTTCCCACGGCCAGTGCCCAGCTGCGCAGCGCCGGCTCTGGGGTACAAGGTAGAGGGCTTGGGATTGGAACACACCCCGAGCCTGCCTCTTATTTGTCTGAATCCTGGCGATGCCTGCGCCTCCCAGGTTTGGATTCCGGCTGCTGAGGCTTTTCTCCTGAGTCTTACCAGCATTTAGGGCATGAGCTAATAATTCAGGCCTCTCTAAGACCAGTGGTCCTGGCATTTAATAGGCTTTAGGCACAATAAGTCATTTCCTGTAAAGGAGAAATAGGAAAATCCAAAAAAGCAAAAACCTCAACGTCTGTACTTGGCCTCCCTCTGTCATTCTCAACGGTTGTTGATGAGAATCCCAAATAGAATTGAGCATGACGCCAGCCTTCCCAGGAGCAGGTCCTCACATGTGGGCAAAGTCAGAGGTCCCTGTTCATGATCTGGATCCAGCCCAGCCCAAGCACCCACCAGGCTGTGGGCTGGAGGGCACATAGGCCAAGTGCTCCAGACTGAGGTAAGACCTTGGCACCTCCTTTAGCAGAAAAACCTGACTGTGTACTTCAATTCTATTATTAAGAGTTCTGTGATTTGCCATAGGGGACCAAGAGACTTGGTGAGAATTCAGACATCTGCTCACCTCCTGGATAAGCTCCCAGGACCCCTCTCTCCACATCTCCTGGCGACACTCAGGCCGTAGCAAAGGGGGCCAGCCTCTGCCCTGGAGTCAGCCTGCATGCTTTCCAACTGGTTTTCAGAGCAGGTATCTTGACACATAGGTTTCTCCTGCCTCCATCTTCTCAGAAGGGAAGGTCTCCATTTCAGCCTCACAAGTCTGTCACGAAACTACATTTAACTGCACCTGCTGGCCTTATAAGGGAGGCCTTCCTGTGGAACATAGGGAGTCTTGGATTTTATGACCAGAACTTTGTGACACACTTTGGGGGTTACAAAGGCCAGAACTGTGTCACCACCAGATTATAGAGACTGGGACTCTGTGCTACTGAGGTAGGGGTGGGGAGGGGGCGCACTAGTGGTCCCTGAGAAATTCCTGTGTTCATCCAGTGCTTGCTGAGCACATATTGAATACTAGGGCCCATATATGTAAACAAGCCTTAGTCCCATCTTCTGTCAAGAGAAGACAAACCTATGACTAAATAAATACTAGTGATCAATGTGCTATGTGAGGTGTGGCTGGGGGCTGGGGCTGGGCGGTTTCTCTAGAACAAGACCACAGGCTTGCCCAACTCCAGGGGGCACCAGACACATGGAATGTGATGTGACCATTGGCCCCAGAATTGTGTGATGCTGAAGCCTTATTCCTGGAGCTGAAGACCCCAGGACGGAGCTTAAAAGATGAACCGAGTTCTGCAGGTGGAAAGGAAAAAGAAGGCAGAGGTGGGACGAGGCTTCCTAGGTGAAGGGACGAGTAATAGAAAGAAGCGGGAGCGTGGCCAGGCCTTGGTTCTCCCCACCTCACACTGGCATGACAGCCAGAACCTGCGCCTCCAGTGAGAGTATCTTGGTGCAAAAGAGAGGTATGATCCAAGACATGGGGAATTTTCATCCTAAAATAGTTTCGAGGTCCAACTTCTTCCCAAAGTTGCTCTGCCAAGAGAATTGGTCTGAGTTTTCTTTTGTTTTGTTTTCACCCTGCTTGAAAAATTGAAAAAACTTTCCAGGCCGGAGGCAGAATTGCAGTGTGGTGAAGAATGTGGAAGCCAAGCACCATTTTAACCAAGCAATCCAAGGTAAAGTCACCAAGGAGAGGACACATGGGTATTACGTGCCTCCTGATGTGATGAGCTGAGGAGAACACGAGGCTGAGTGTGAAGTATTCCTGGCCAAAAATGCATCGCCTGGATCTAATCTTGAGGAAACATCAGACAAGCCCAAACTAGGGGACCTTTACAAAACAATTGGCCTGGAATATCTAAAATGTCACCCACGTGAAAGACAAAGGCTTAAAAAACCATTTTAGATGAGAAGAAACTAGAGAAGGGAGTGCTGTGGTAGACAGATTCTAAGATGGTCCCCAATGACACCCCCTTTCCTGGTGTTCACATCCTGTACAATCTCCTCCCCTTTAGGGTGCCTGGACCCACTGACCTGCTTCTTCTTTTTTTTTTAATAATACTTGATTAAATTTGACCTGCTGTTTAATGAATAGAATATAGCAAAGGTGATGGGATGTCTCTTCTGGATTACACAAGACTAATGGGTTACAAAAGACTGTGACTTCTGACTTGCTAGCAGTTTCTCTGGTTCTTCTCAACTCTCTTGATGGGATGAAGCAAGTTTTCAAATTATGAGCTTCCCTATGGAAGAGCCCGTGTTTCAAGGAACTGAGGGAGGGAGAACTCCGGCCAACAGCCAGCAAAAAACTGAGGGTTTCAGGCCAACAGTCTGCAATGACCTGAATCCTGCCAACAATCACCAAGTGAGCCTGGATGCAGATTCTGTCCTAGTTGCACCTTGAGATCGCTGTTGCCCTGGCTGACATCTCAAGTGCAGCCTTGGGGGACCCTGAATCAAAGAGCCCAGCTCAGCCACATCTGGATTCCTGACCCACAGAAACTGTGAGATGATAAAGGTTGCTGTTTTAAACCACTAAGTTTTGGGGTGACTTGTTATGCAGCCACATCTAACTAATGCAACCACTACATGCAGTGAATAATCCTGACCGGGATCCTGGAAATGAAAAATAAAAGATTACTATGAAAGACATTATTTAGATGATTGACAAAATATCAACAGGGACCAAATGAATAGTAATATTGTGTCAATGTTAAATTTCCTGAATTTGATAACTGTACTGTTTTGTAAGGTGATGTTTGGTTTATTACGGGTCCACACTAAGCTGTGTAGGGTCATGATTTCTGCCACTTCCTTTCAAATGGTTCAGAAATAATAATAGCATTTATTATACATATTATATATGACATATATATTATAGGGAAAGGGAGTTTCATTTACTTGTGTAACAAACCACTACAAAACTTAATGACTTAAAACAACAAAAATGTATCACTTCTTATAATTTTGTGGACAGACTGGGTTGACCTTGAGGGCTCCTCTGGTCCTTATGGCATCAGCTGAGGCCACTCCGCTGCGTTCAGCTGGCAGTTAAGCTGGGCTGGAAAGTCCAAGAGGGATTCACTCCCACATCTGGCACCTTCGTGCTCCTCACATATCTCCTGTCTCCCCTTGTAGCTAGCTTGGGCTTCCCCACAGCATGGTAGTTTCAGAGGAAACCAACTTCATACATAGCTTCCGAGAGAGAAGAAGTGTGAGCTCCCTGTTTCAAGGCAGCCCCAGCTGCCTGCTAGACCAGGGAATTGCTGAGCAATTCTTGGGATTTGGGGCAAATCTGTTTCTCTGGTCCAGGAAGACCTACTTGGCAGTGACTCAGGGAAGAATCCTGAGGGCAAAGGAGGAGGGGAAGAGAAAGATCATAAAGAGATTCCCTCAGCTGGAGTTAAAGGGCCCAGGGACTGAAGAGTGCAGAGTAAGCGCCTCCCTCTCCCCACTGCCCCGCTCCATCTCAGCTTCCTCTGCCCCCTGATCATTTTAACCTAAGAGCTCACTTAAAGATGTCAAGGGGTAGAGGGGGAGGAAGAAAAATGCCACTTACTTAGCACAAAGTGCTAGGAGCTTTGCCCACCTTGTTTTACTTTGTCCTCACAGCAACCCTGCAAAGGAACCATTATTACTCCTTCGGAAAGAGGAGGCAGCCGAAGTCTCAGGAGGTGCGGTGACTTGAGCAGATTCATACCGCAAAGGTACGGAATCAAAGAATTTATTTGTTTCTTTAACAAACATTTTTTGGCCCAGGACTGTGCTGGGCCTGGGAACACAAAGATAAATGATGTCATAGTCAGCTATTGCTGCAATAATGCTACAAAACAAACATCCTCCAAATCTCAGCAGCCTTCAACAACCAGTGTTTGTTTTCCAAATTCATAGGTCGGTGGGTCAGCAGGGATTCTGTTTCAGCCACAGGTTGGCTGGGCTTGCATCCAGCCTCTGGGTTGGGTTCGGGTCTATTCTTCACAGCCCCACATTCTGTTTGGACTAGTGGCTACCCAGGACACATCCTTCTCAAGGGGGTACGAGAGACAAGTCAAACCACCCAGCACATTCAGAGCCTCTGCTGACGTCACTGGCCAAAGCGAATCCCATGCCCAAACCTGAAGTCATTAAGGCAGAGAAGCCTACGCTAAGTGTACCTGTGCCCTGATGATGGCAGAAATAATGAATTCTGTGACAAGGGCAATGAAGAATTGAGAGCAGGGATCCAATCTGCCAGAGGGCACAAAGCACATGCCTTGCCCTCGGGGAGCTCCTGGTCTACTGGGGCGGGGATGGGGGGAGGCTCATAATGACACAATTACAATACAGTGAAGTAAGTGCAATGAGGAGGCATAGGTGGGGCATGGAGTGTGCATGCGTATGCGTGCTCACTACAGGAGCACCGAGGTGGTCCCTGTGGCCACCTAGACTTTCTAGAGAAGGAGGTGGCTGAGATGAATGCGAAAGGATAGAATGAACAGGCACTCTGCGTTGAAACAGAGAGAAGAGGGTAGGGAAGCGAGGGAGGGCTTTACAGGCAGTCACGACTGTGTGAGAAAAGGCGAGGAGACAGAAGCAGCATGGTGTGTTCAGGGGAATCAAGAAACCGTCTGCTGTCCCCAGAGCCTGACGGGGAAGGCAACAGGTGTCAGGAGGTGGTGAGAGGGGGAAGTAGGCAGGAGCCCAACCGCCGAGGGCCTGCAGTCGTGTGCTAAACATCCGTCTCTCACCCAGAGCTCTCCCCACTCGTTTCCATTGCTCCCTGCTCCGGGTGACGGGCTGTGTGAACCGCAGCCAAAGCCCCTCATTCCAGGAAGATGGCACAATGTAGCTTCTGCCTCTTCCCATCCTCCCAAATGCATATGTTGAAGCCGTAACCCCCAAAGTGACTGTATTTGGAGGTAAGGCCTTAAGGGTGTAATTTACATTAAATGAGGTCACAAGGGCGGGGTGCTAATCAGACAAGACAGGTGTCTTTAGAAGAAGAGGAAGAGATACGGGGTCTGTGTGTGTGTGTGTGTGTGTGCGCGCGCGCCAGGTGAGGATGTGGTGAGAAGGTGGCTGTCTACAAGCCAGGAAGAAAGATCTCACCAGGGGGGAGGTGGGTTGGGGGCTGGGTGAAAAAGGTGAAGGGATTGAGAAGCACAAATTGGTAGTTACAAAATAGTCACGGATGTAAGCACAGCTTAGGGAATATAGTCAATAATATTGTAGTAACTATGTATGGTGCCAGGTGGATACTTGAAATACTGGGGGACCACGTTATAAAGCATGTTTTTTAAACCACTATGCTGAAACTAATACAAAATAATATCGAATGTAAACTGTAATTGAAAACTAAAATGAAAAAAAACAAAGGTCTCACCAGAAACCAACCCTGATAGCACCTTGATCTTGGACTTCCAGCCTCCAGAACTGTGAGAAAGTAAATTTCTGTTTTAAGCCACCATTCAGTGGTATTTTGTTATGACAGCCCTAACAGACTAATACAACACCCCCAAAACAACCAGGATTAAAAATATCAGAAGGTCCACAGACAACATCTACAGCAAAACTGGGTAACAAGTTAAACCCACAAGCCCAAAATACAGGTGGGGTGGGGACAAACCACAGGCAGTTACTAGACTCATGTGACATCAGTATCTGTGGAAGGAAGCTGAAGGAAGAGTTTCTGATGGTTCTGAGAACAGGTCACACCCCAGCTCACCAGCTAGTACTCAAAACTATGGCAGGCCAACACAATAGCAGCTGAAACTGGAAAATAATTCTGCAGAATCCAATTTGCACGTGAGTGCCAAAGACCACTGTACGACGAGGTCTGATGGTGCTGGAGCCATCTGGGCCCTATAAACTCACTTTTGCTTCCCCTATAAACTCTTGAAGCTAATATACTGAAGTTCCCTTTCACGAAAAAGTCCCAGACTGGGACTTTGAGAGTGGAAACCCAACTGATCAGAGCAGAGAGGCACACTAGGGCAAACAAAGAGAGCATGTGATCCAACTGGCTGCCACTGGGTGCAGTTGAATGAATGCTCTATCCCCTGGCGATACGGAATCGAGATAAATAAAATGCACCTGGGGATTGTTGGGCCAGGGGGGCAAAGGAGAAGAATTTATCTATCAGACTTTGTTTCACATTGGCCAATGTCTACCCCAAGGGGCCTTAATAGCCCCACCTTCTTGGTTATGCAGGAGTAGACATCAAACAGGGCCCTGCAGCATCCCATGCTTTGATGGTCTCAAAGAAGCCCGGGACAGGAGGCCAGAGGCACACAGTATGGACATGAGGCCAGCTGCTGTCCGAGAAGCTGGTCATAGTCCATGCAGAGCTAGCTGCCACCACAGCGGTTAGAATGAGTAACAGCAGAGTCCAAGAGCCTCTGATGTGGTGCCTAAGGGGTGTCTGATACAGGATCATCATTAATATCACCGCCACTGCCATTATCCCCATTTTACAGGTGAGAAGACTGACACTCACAGAAGTCCCCACCCATGTAGTCTGGGAAGAGCACATTCTTAGGCCTCATACTAAGCTGCCTCCTGGGGGGGGGCCTGCACTTCCACCCTTAGTGGGCCTCGGGATTACAAAGCCTTTCAGGATGTGGGGGAAACAGAGCCACCAGGATAGGCTTAATTATTAGGGAGAAGTCAAGGGTAGGGAAAAAAGGAGAGAGAAGAAATAATAATCCTCTGTTGAAAAATGGCCTTGCAATTGGCAGTTATCCATTCCTTCATTCATTCAACCAATATTTGCCAGGCTCCCGTCACATGCCCAGCCTGAGCTTGGTGCTGGGGAAACAGAGGTAAAACTGATGCACTGTCCCCAGGGCTCTGGCACGTTGGTGGTGAGACAGACGGGCGGTGAGTGTTCCAGAGCACAATAAGCAGGGTGAGGCAGGATAGCCCAGAAGCCCGGTGTGTTACCTGAGGGCTGTGCCACCTTTCTGAGCCTGTTTCCTCATCTTTGAGATGACTCTGAGGCACAGCGCCCGGCACAGTGAGGTGGCACTTAACCCTACTGTCGTGAGGTGAGAGAGATGAAAAGGGAGCAGCCCTCTGTGCTCGGGGTTGTCACAAAGGCCTTGCAGGGGAAAGAGGCTTAGCATGAGTTTTGTGGTGATTTCGTTTGCCCCCTTTGCCACCCCACCCATTCTCTGCCCTTCTCAGCCTGCTCTGTGCCCCAGGCGGTGGGCCTCCACTGACCGCATCGCTTTGGAATCGGGCAGACCTGGGTCTGAATCTAGGCTTTACCCCTGAATTTATTCAACAACACTTGTTGAGTGCCCCCAGTGGGCCATCCTGCTCTAGGTGCTGTGATCACAGCCGACCAACTCCCGTTCTCAAGGGGCTTTAGTGCAGTGAGAGACGCGGCCCACAGACAATCAACCAGTAGTGGAATGCCCTGGAGGGGGGTATGCTGTGCCAGGGAGGCTCTCAGCTAGAGCTAGTGCTGCGAAGGGACAATCTAGAGCAAGGGACAGGGAGGGATTCATGTGGGAGATTACCCAGGGGTGGGGAAACTTTTTTTTGCCAAGGGCCATTTGGATATTTACAACATCATTCACGGGCCATACAAAATTATCAACTTAAAAATTAGACTGCTATATTTGGTCAAACTTTTAATTAACTCACTCCTAAGGTGATGGCTGGAACGGCTTCTCTTTGGTGAGGCCTTGGCAGAGCCAGATGTTCCCCACCCTGCTTTAGGTAATGTGCTCGCAGAAGGAGCACTGGCCCAGATTTAAGCCTCAGTTTCCTCATCTGTGACCCGGAGTGAAGCATGCCCACTTCCCAAGGATGCTGTGAGGATCAGATAACACCACAAAAACCTTAAAGATCCTGAGTAAATTACGCCTGAAAAATGACCTAGTTTCTAGCTGAGGACTCACTACGAGTGAAGTGTGTCCAGGAAGGACAGTGTAGCAAGTGAGTTCATTTAGTTTCTGCTTTTATTTTGTTATAAAGGCTTCTTTTTTTAAAAAAAAATGTTTTTATTGATTTCAGAGAGAGTAAGGGAGAGGAAGAGAGAGAGGTAGAAACATCAATGATGAGAGAGTCATTGATTGTGTGCCTCCTGCACCGCCCCCTCCCCCCACTGGGATCAAGCCTGAAACCCAGGCATGTGCCCTGACTGGGAACAGAAACTCGGTCTCCTGGATCATAGTTCGATGCTCAACCACTGAGCCACGCTGGCTGGGCATGCAGGCTTCTTTTTCTTTCCTTTTGTTAAGGTTCCAGTGTAAACTGGTATATTCACACTCACTAAATAAATGAAAACCTGCCCCCAAAATGCCCAAACCAAACACCTTTCCCATGTCAGGCACTCTGTTAAGTTCTCAGTAACATGCTGGCTCCCTGTCCCCGAGGAGCTGGGTAATTCTGTGGACCTAGAGAAATGGCAAGATGGAAGCTGAGTTCTAGTGAATTATGTGGCAGCACACAGAGGGCCCCTCGAGCCTTCCTTGAGGCAACCTGTCACTGATGGCCAAGAAAGTCAGCGCGTCTGCAGGCTGCCCTGCACCAGGCCGGGAGAAAAGGGGGTGCATTTACCAAAGGTGGCCCCGCACCTGAGCCACCCAGCCTGCTGCTCCTCCAGCCTCACGCTCAGCACCGACCCCTCTCCTCTGAGAAGAGACAGCACACGCACATTTCCCAGATGGCCGATCCCAACCTGATGGTGGAGGTGAGGCGGTCACAGGAAATCCAAACACCCCACTTCCTCCCCTGAGCCAGTTTTGACTTCATTGCACCACATTCTGACCCTAATTTGCAGAAGAGACTCCCGGCCACAAAGCATCACCAAAATGCAAGCCGAAGGGGCCATCCCGAGGTCTGACTGTCTACCGGGAATTATAGTACAGCGGCGGCCAGGCTCCCAAATTACAGGGCCGCCGGGCCAACTGGTGATTAGAATGGGTAAAAATAACCATGGCTGAAGTCGGGAGGTAAGGAGAGGCAGCTTGCCCTGGAGACCTGGGGTGGCTACCGACGTGGCCTCGAGGGGGCCACACTCCCTTCTGCATGTAGCTCTGCTGACGAACAGGCTGCCAGGAGGCCACCCCTCTGCCCCGAGTCAGCCAGAGGCCTGGCCCTGCCCAGGTGGCCTCTGCACCCCAGTCCGGCAGCAGCTGCTGGTCACTACAGCCCAGCTGGCTGAGAACCGCTTGTCCAAGACAATTTCGGCAAGAAAGAGAATTTAAAATTCTAATGCTAGTTATTTCACTTTCGTTCCATCTTTGGGGGCTGATTTTTTAAAAAAGTTCTTGGGACAATACAGTATATTGAGGTCCATTTATGGAGCTCATAGTGTGTTATTTTGTTTTCTTTTTCTTAAAGGTCCTGGCTTGTGAAATGTGCTGGAAGGGCAGAACAGTGTGCATAGTAGGCTGCCACTTGTGTGACAAATTGGCAAGGAATTCCTGCCTCTACACAGAAGCATGATTGCCCCAGCGGAAACCTATAGGTTTCTAGTTCCCTAGAAACCTATAACAGTAGTTGCCTCCAGGAAGGGGAACTGGGTGGCTGGGGCCACAGGTGGTGGAGACTTTTACTTTTGCTTTTGTTTATCGTAGAGAGGCTCAGAAGATGCAAAATATAAAACAGAGGAGGGGCATGGAGGCATGTCTTGGACCCAACAATTCCATTGCTAGGAATCTGTCCTAGTAGAGAATTGGTGACATGCATGAGATGTCTGCACAAGGATTTTATACAGTATTGTTTGTGTACTGAACTGGGGTGAGGAAAATAAATTGTATGTATCTGGGGGAAACTACGTAGCTCTTAAAAGGACAGTATAGATCTATAAACAATAACGCAGAAAGACATTCATGTTGAGGGAAAAGGTATGATATAAAACAGTGTGGACTGTATGTTTATGTGAAATTGGGTGCACATGGGTACATGCATCACATGGGCAGGCGTCTGGGATGGTGATCATCCAAAGGTTAAGAATGACTTCAGGCTCCCAGGAACGGCAGAGTCATTGTTATCGATGAACACATCTGCCAATGACAGTTATGTCTGGATGAAACATAAAAAACAACTATTTGAAGGCACTAGAAGATGGAGGGGAGATGACTCTTGAGGGAAAGGTCCTCATGGGGTGGGTTCACGCTCAGTTCTCCAGCTTCCCCCGGAGGGCTATTCCCAGGCCTTGCTGTGTTCCAGACAAACTCAAGCAGAGACCATGCGCCTGAGGAGTCAGAGGTTGGAATTCAGGGCTGGTTCAGCAGCCAGATATTGAGGGAGGAAATCTCAGCAAGGTCAGAACCAGAGAAGGGGGCCCCAAAATCTGCCTGAACGCCCCTCAGATTCTCAGACTCCTGAACTGAATGTGTGGGGGTCACACTCTGAGGAGGCCAGGGGAAATCCTAGAACAGAAAAAGACAACATCTGAAAACTTTTTTTTACCAAGAACATTAATAGCATCCCCACCTATCTCCCATCTATCTTAATCCATTGTGCTCTCATTATTCACCTAGAAATATTTTCTAATTTCCCTTGGGATTTCTTCCTTGACTCCTGAATATTTAGAAGTGTTGCTTAATTTTTAAATCTTTGGGAATTTTATGGATATCATAATGTTACTGATTTCTAATATAACTGATGTAATGCCATTGCATTGTGTTGTTTCAAGGCTTTTAAATTTATTGAGACTTGTTTTGTGGCCTAATGTGTGGTTTATCTGGATCAGCATTCCTTGAGTGTTTGGAGAGACTATGTCCTTCATAGTTGGCGAGCGTCGTGTTCTATAAATTCCAATTAAGTCTGAATTTCAATTAAGGGGGAAAGTAGAAGTTCCAGGAGGGGAGGAGACGCTCCTAGGACTTCTCAGCAGGTGTCTGCTTATACCTTCTTGGCAGAACTGTGTCATGTGGCCACTGCTAGATGCAAGGGATGAAAGAAGGTGACATTTTAGTTTTCTAAGGTTCTATAGGCTAGAGAGTCAAGGAGAAGGGGACTCAAATGTGTGATGAGTGGGTGCTATAGACTGAATTTCTGAGTCCCCCAAAATTTGTATGTTGAAACCGAATTCCCAGCCTAATGGTATTTAGAGGTAGGGCATTTGGGAGGGGATTAGGTCATGAGGGTGGAGCCCTCATGAATGGGATTAGTGTCCTTCTAAAAGAGACCCCAGAGAGCTCTTTTGCCCCTTCTGTCATGTGAGGACACAGTGAGAGGACAGCATCTATGAACCAGGAATCAGGCTCTCGCCGGACACTGAATCAGGTGCACATGGGTATACGAATCACACGGGCAGTTATCTGGGAAGGTGATCACCCAAAAGTTAAGAGTGAGCCCAGCCGGTGTGGCTCAGCCGTTGAGCATCGACCTTATGATCCAGGAGATTGAGGTTCGATTCCCGGTCAGGGCACATGCCCGGGTTGTGGGCTCGATCCCCAGTCAGGGGCGTGCAGGAGGCAGCTGATCAATGACTGTCATCATTGATGTTTCTCTCTCTCCCTCTCCCTTCCTCTCTCTGAAATCAATAAAGAGAAATTAAAAAAAAAAAAAAAAAAAGAGTGCCCCTGGCCAGTGTGGCTCAGTTGGTTGGAGCTGTGTCCTGTGCCTTGGCTTTGGCCTTTCCAGCCTCTGGAACTGTAAGAAAAAAAGTTCCTGTTGTTTTTTAAATTACCCAGTCATGTCTCTCTGGTCTCCTTTAATCTGAACTAGTCCCCCAACCTTGTTTGTCATGGCAGCTTTGTTTGTTGTGTCACAGTGCCTTTCCTTTGCCTTCCTTCGGTATGTCACCCTGGGTCTTTACTCACAGCCATTCCCGTGTTTGGGCTCCTCTGAAAGCAGAGCCTGGGGCAGGGGCCCAGGTGCAGGAGTTTATTGGGATGGAGAGGAGAGCAATGGAAAGCAGGGAAAGCTGATAACAGGTGCATTGCTGAGGTCACTGCTGTGGGCAGCAGAGGCTTGTCCCCTGCAGAAGCCACCCCAGGATGGTCCGTCACAGCGGGAGCTGGAGCCGGCAGCCACTGGCCCCTCCCCAACTAGGCTGAGGGTTGCTTCAGAGGCACTGGCTTCCCCACCCTTCCAGGCTGCCCTGCCTAGGGACCCAGCAAGCAAGGGGTACCTTGTTGCCCTAATCAAGTGAAAGCTCTTGAGGCAGAGGAACGATCCAGCCTTGCCCTTCGAGGCCAGTGAAGCCCACGGCATACTCAGGGCTGCTGGTTCCCCAGGTCTGCGCTCCCCAGCTGGGTCCGGATGTCACAGAGCAGAGATGGTCGCACACGTGTCTCCTCCATCCATCCAGCTGATCCAGGTGAGCCGAAGTGAACTGCGTGAAAGGGGGAAGGACCTCTGCTGTGTCTCTGGGCTCCAGAAGGCTTGGAGTGAAGGAGTGTGAGCAGAGCAGGTGGAGAGGGAGGTGCTCAGTTCAAGGGGGAGCAGGGCCTTTTGGTGGGTGAATCGCACAGAAGCAGGAGGGAACCCTGTATGTTCTGGGTGCGGTGAGGAGACAAGAGCGTCGAAAGGGTCTCCCCAGGGAGAGGGTCTCGGAGCTCTGTGCTTGCCCGCTGCATTCATTCCTAGTGCTGCCATACAAATTATCACCAACTTGGTGGCTTAAAACAATGCAAATGTATCATCCTACAGTTCTTTAAGCCAGATGTCCGACAAGGGTCTCCCTGGGCTGAAATCAAGGCCTTGATGGAGATGCATTCTCTTCGGGAGGCCCCGGGGAGAAGCCACTTCCAGCTTCTAGGAGCCACACACGTCCATGGCTCACGGCCTCTTCGTCCCACCTCAAAGCCAGCAACTTCACACTGTCTCCAACCCTCCCTCCAAAATCCTGTCTTCCTCTGACCACAGCTGGGAAAGGTTCTCGCTTTTAAGAACTCATACGATGAGGTGGGTCCCCTCCCCAGACAACGCAGGGTGGTGTCTCCCATCTCCAGGTCTGTCATCTTAATCAGCTCTGCAAAGCCCGCTGCCCGGGAGGGCCCACCCACCGGGCCTGGGGATCAGGACATGGGCGCCCTGGACAGGGTGTTACCCAGCCAACTTCACAGCTTCCCCCCATCCCCACCCGGGCAGCCTCAGGCGTTGGGAGGAGAAAGGGGAGCAGACCTTCTGGAGCCTGATCATGCCTGTTGCGGGGGAGCATGTGAGGACGGGCACCCCATTCTCTGAGTGCCGCTGGAAACTGGCAGAACCTCTTAGGAAAGCCATTTGACGGCAGTACTAAAGCTGCACATCCACATACCCGCTCGGCAGAATCAGCCGTCCTACTTTCAAAAATGAATCATACGGAGATAAAGCACGCCTGAGGACATCAGCTAGGGGGCAATGCAAATAGATAGTTCTAGATGCAAATGTCTGTTGCAATATTGTAATACAGAAAATCTGAAAATAGCACATATATAATGGAATTCTATGCTGTGATTTAAAAGGGTAAAGTAGCCCAGGCCAGTGTGGCTCAGTGGTTGAGCATCGACCGTGAACCAAGAGGTCACCGGTTCGATTCCCAGTCAGGGCAAGTGCCCGGGTTGCGGGCTCGATCCCTAGCAGGGGCCGTGCAGGAGGCAGCCAATCGATGTTGATGTTTCTCTCTCATCAATATTTTTATCTCTCTCTCCCTCTCCCTTCCTCTCTCTCTAAAATAAAAACATTTTAAATAAAAAGAAAAAGAAAAATAAAAGGGTAAGGTAACCAATAACTACTGACTTAAGAAATGGAATATACCCAGTAGTCCTGACACTAGGGGGGTGAGCACTACTGTAACCTATATATTACAGATGGGGAAACTGAGGCTCTTTTCCCCCCTGTTTTTAAGCATTAAGGAAAGTATTTGGGACACTTTGTGTCCAAGAGCAGCTCTGAGAGGGTGAGGGGAGTGTGTGGGCCCAGGAGGTGCACCCGACGGGGTTGGATCTGGGTTACTCTGGTCCTGCATACTCTAGAGAGTGGCTTGGGAGCCCGCCCAAGACGCAGTCGGGCCTCTGCCCTCTGGGCTACAAGTGGGCCCCAGGATAGCTCCAAGGCCCCCACTCAGGGTGGCCCACGTGGTCCTTAGGGACAAAAGTCCTAGACAGGAATAGGGGTTCTGGGTCCCCGACTCTTCTTTACAGTCACTGGACGCTCTCTGCCTCAGTTTCCCTATCTTTAAATGGGAATCGCATTGCTTGCAAAAAGATGATATTAAAGAACAGTATATACAATATGACCCCAGTGCATAAAAATATGTATCAATTTTAAATATGAGATGCGCAGAAAGAAACAAAACTAGAAGGATATTTTCTCTTTTTCTTTCTTTCTTTTTAGTCAGCCGGATAATGTGCCGATGCTATAACGAGGTCTGAGGAAGGCACACCCCACACAGGGGCGCGAACACCCAGTCATCATGCTTATGAGCTATAAAAGGATCTAGAAGGATATTTTCGAAAATATTCTGTGTTCTCTGAGGAGCAGGACTAGGGTGACATTCCTTCCCTTCTGTTTTTGTTTCTGACAATGAGCGTTGGTTTGTCACCT